TATATATATATATATATATATATAATATATATGTAATATGCTTAGTAATAGAAAATTAGAAATGCATAATTTAAGATAAATCTATTAGATTTGATTGTTATTTCAGCTCTGTGCGGAGTAGTTGTTTGCTGTCTATATATTTAATTACTTGAAAAAAATGATATATTTTCTTTAGACTTCAAAGTGACAGGTCTTTGTCATGAAGATATAAAAAATCGCATGCAGAAAGAAAATAAAAAACTAGAGTATAATCTCTATGGTCTTATTCAGATATGAATAGAAACTTTGGGCTTGAAAATTTTGAGATCGAATAGAAGTTTTTACTTTATTTTTTTTCTCCGCATGGGTGAAGTGTTGATCAGCCGATAATTCTCATATTTATAAGGCGTAAGGAGCGATAATGAGATAGTTGTGTACTAGGCATATTAGGAGAAATAAGATAAATAGAACAAGGTTGAAGAGTCTTGAGTGATGACAAGATGAGGAAATCGAAATGAAGATAGTTTGAAAATGTGAAAAAAAAAGATGCATTAGTGAGAGGTGCGAGGTTGGTTGTGGTGGGTTTTAGGAGATCATGTAAATAGGCGGAAAGAAGTGATTAAACGTGACACGACACACCTATAATTTATCGAGGACATGATACACCTACAACTATTATTATTACTTAGTAAATTGTAAATTTGCCTAAATTGTATAATTCGTCTGATTGTATAAATTAGAATTTTGTATATAATTGGTTCTTGCTGGATCCAGAATTTGTATATGCTTATCATAACTATTTGTACACGATTTATGAAAAATCATAATAAATTATCCTGTTTGTATATTGACTAGCGAAATATACAAATGGATTTCTGAAAAATTCTTAAATGTATGAATACAAAATTTGTATATATTTACCCTATTTATATATTCGCAAGCGAAATTTACAAACAAGCTAGCAAAATATACAAACCGCAGTCTCCATATCAAACATAACTACAGCTATAGAATATAATTATCGAAACTATCCTTATAAAATTATATCTGTTATGTTTGTTATTTCTGAATTTTTCTCAAATAGGAAGAAAGAGTCAATTTTGTTTCCTCAATTATCTACAAAATTGACCCTTTCTTCCTAGTTGTCTCTCCCCCCCCACCATATTATTTACGTAAATAAAAGTAAACTATAGACCACAAATTAAAGACTAGCCGTTTTTTACGCAAAGAGGTGGTCAAACGTGCAACATGTATGAACAAAAGAAAAACAAATATAAGCCACTACTCCTAATTAACACAAATCCATTCATTCCATGATGGAAAATTCAACAAACAAAAGAGCAAAATAATGCAAGCCATATATTCCAATTTTTACCTCCTATATACTTTTACCCCTCTATCATTTCAAACTTAACCCAGAGAAGACCATATTCTAATAGAGAAAAGTGACAAAAAAAAAAAAAAACACAAGTGAAAAAAAATATTAAAAAATGGCTAATAGAAATGGGGTTGCTTTCTCATTGGTCTCTCTGGCCCTAACTTTTGTTTTATTTGCATCATCCCAAATAAATGCACAAGTTGATCCATCAATAGCCAAAGTGAGCCCATATTGTGTAAAAGCAATGGACAAGCCCTTTTGTTCTGAAGTTGTTAAGGTAGCTGACACATGGCAAGAAGCTATCACAGAAGTGTTATCAGAAACGATTATGCAAACAAAATTGGCAGAGCCAATTATGGCTAGTTTATTAAGAACATTGTCACCTAGTGATGCAAAATTAAAAGATAACATTGGTACTGGATGCAAAAAATCATATAATGATGCACTTGAGACACTGAAAGAAGTTGAAGAGTTGTTGAAAACAGGTGATAAGACAAAAAGTGCAAATACTAAGATATCATCAGCAATGTCAAGATTGGATGATTGTGAGGATGAATTCAAGAAAGTACAAATGCCTATTGAATTTGCAACATTTTATAAGGGTAGTAAGAAATTACTTAGCACTTGTTTGGCTGTTGAAAGGACCAGGCCTGATCTTCTTAATTAAATTCAATAATTAATACTATGCAATTACCATTTCTTTAAATGGTCAATATTGGAGATACATATATGTGTGTGTATTGGGAATTTTGTTTGATGAAATTTATGATATGTAATTTCATCACGCGATGAATAAATGTTTTGTTTCACTTCTACCCTTCTTTATTTTACCTTGTATTTTATATATATGCACCATATTAACATTTCCCACATATATATCTATTTGGCACAATTGGTGTATATTGATCGTATTGTGATGTACATGTATTTAGAAAGGTGATAAAACCTGCATTCAGGCCACCATTGATGAGCTCTGTAGAAGAAAAGGAAGAAAGCTAATAGAGAGTAATTGTGTTGTGTTGAGATTTTTTATTATTCACACGTCTGAACTGATCCTTACAATCATGAATTCACTTATATACAGTGCATTTACAAAGTTACTAACTAACTATCCACTTGTCAACTTCTAATTGGAAACTTAATAACAAACTTCTTAACTAACCAATCTCTACACAGCTATCAACTAACTATTCCTTTATTTCTACACTCCCCCTCAAGTTGAGAATGGAAAATGTTTTTCATTCCTAACTTGACCAGTAATGCAGCTTGTTGTTGATGACCCAAAGCTTTGGTAAACACATCAGCTAGTTGTTCCTTGCTTGCAACATAGTTAGTTCTTACTAAACCTTCCTGTAATTTTTCCCTTATAAAATGGCAGTCAATCTTAATGTGTTTTGTTCTTTCATGATACATGGGATTGGCTGCTATTTGTAATGCAGCTTTATTATCACAATATAGATCAATTGGCAATTGCACCTTCACCTGCAACTCTTGTAACAACCCTTTTAACCAAGTCAATTCAGCTACTGTTTGAGCCATGCACCTATATTCTGCCTCAGCAGAACTTCTAGAGATAGTGTTTTGTTTCTTAGCTTTCCAAGAGACAAGAGATGTTCCCAATTTGATACAAAAACCAGAGACAAACCTTCTAGACATAGGACAAGAAGCCCAGTCAGAGTCGCAATATGCTTCTATCTTCTCATCCCCTTTACTAGACATTAAGAGACCAGGCCCAGGCTGATTCTTGATATACTTCACCACATGTAAAGCAACTTCATAATGAGACTATTTAGGGGCATGCATAAACTGACTTAAGG